GCACTGCCTCACCCACTTCGAGCCCTGAGCTGCATAGACCACATTGGACACTGCTGAGCACCCCTCCCAGCACCTGGGAGGAAGCCTTCTTGCTGACAGCTTTGCCAGATCCATTCTTTTTTTTTTTTTTTGCCAGATCCATTCTTTACCTTGACCTTCGAGGCCCTCAGACAGGGGAGAGCAAAAACCCAACCACCCACCTGGGCTGCTTTTCTTGGGGAGAGCATGGACGCCAGGAAGATCTGAGCCACCTCTGCCTGGAGTGATCAGGCGGGGCCTCTGAGAGCTCGGGAGGAGCAGGGAGGCTGGCCCTTCTGCAGTCCTAGAGAGAAAGGCACAGCCTCCCCTCACAGTCCGAGCCCAAGGCAGGGCCTGTCTTGGCTTCTGAGACAGGAAAAGGAAGGGCAAGCCTGGTGTGAGGACCAGAGAGGACAGCATCCTGCAAAGGAGCCAAGGGCCTGGGCAGGGAAGGCATGAACCCAGAGGGCAGCTGAGGGGTGCTGAACCTGCAGAGGCTTCGGTCCCTGCAGGACGGGTCGTCAGCTGGGTACCTACTGAGCCGGAATTTTCTTGAGAACAAGGTGGGGAAATCCCTTCCGAACCCCAAACTCCTAGACCCTTCCTCTTGACCCAGTGCAGAGTTTTCCGGATTCTGGCCAAATCCCAGCCCAGGCTGTTTGCAAAACCCCACTTGCCCCCAGAACCAGAGGCCTGGCACTGACCCCCACCTGCCTCGGGCCAGCCTTGGAGTACGGGGCTCTTTTCTCTAAACGGGATGGACAATCCACCCCAGCCACCGCCTCATCTGGGTCCGGCACCTGCTGGATTGTGCGGGCTCTCGGCCCCCCCGGGGTCCCGCTAACCACTGTGTAAAAGCTCTGGGCTTCCTTTGACCTTTCCGCTTTGCCTGGTTATGTGGTGGCCATCCCGCTGACATGCCTGCCCGGGCGTCATGGCTGGGCAACTGCTCAGGCCCTGCCCGCAGCCTGCGCCCAACAGCTCTGCCATCGCTTTCTCTCCTTCCCCCTGGTTCCTTGCTCTCCCTCTCATTCTTTCTTTCTCCTTCTCTCTCTCTCTCTCTGTCTCTCTCTTTTTCACTCTTTTAACATGGTTTTCCTAAAAAGTTTTTTAATCAATCAAATTTGAGGCAGAAAATAGGTTTTGTCACGCCTGGTCCCGGGGTGGTGTGGCTCTCACTCAGGCTCCTGACAGCTCCTCAATGCAGGAAGGAGGCCAAACAGAATATTTCTCGGGGAAAGTGCCCGTTTCCATGACACTGCCCCTTGTTGTCTGCACTGCCCCCCTCCTCAAGCTGCCGCTGACACGGCCTCAGCCCTGTGAAAGGGCCTGGCCGGGGAGGGGGCTGTGTGCAGGTGGGGGAGGGGGCAGGAGGCAGCATGGGGATTTGGGGGGGGCGGGTAGATGGGCCGACAGCTGCCCCGGGCCGCCCCTCGTGGCCTGAGAGGGCTGGGGAGCAGGTAGGGGCGGCAGGACCGGGAGCCTGGCCCTGTGCTGCGTAATCAGCTGAGCCTCATAAATATGGAGCCGGGGAACTGGGGGTGAGATGCTCCGAAGCCAAGTCCCGGAGGGTCGGCGGCTCCAGCCAGAGGGGACTGACTGCAGGCGGATGAGGCCTCTTCGGGTCCTGGTACGCTGGTCATTGCAGCTTCTTCACCCTTCCCTCCCTGCCCCCCTGCCCTCCAGCCTTTCCTTCCACCCCTGGCCTGTGGCAGCCCCCTCCCCACCATCTCTGACTCCCTTCTCGCCCTCCCTCTGCTCCAGCACCCCCTGGGCCTCTGGTTCCTTCTGGCTCCCGGGCCCGTGGTCCCCGCTCCTGCAGGCCCTCTGTGCCTTGTCTGTCCGCCCCGCTTGCCCTAGCCTCCTTCCCACCTCACTCTTTTACCCTCTCCCCTCTCCTCTACTCTTCTTGCTCTCTTTTATAATTAATGATTAGTTTTAATTGGTTTGCTTAGGCGGCCTGACAGCAAATTAACAGAAGGCAGCTCAGGGCTGCCAGGCTCGGGCGAGAGACCACTGCACTTCCCAACCGGTCAGGGGAGGGCAAGGGCAAGGCTGACCTCCAGACTCTGCTTGGGCCTGCGGGCTGGCCAAGCGGGCTCTCAGCTGATGAGTGAGGCCACACCTGGGCTGGCGCAGTGGCCAGTGGGAAAAAGGCAAGAGGATCTTCACATACAATCCAGGCTCACATTTGTCAACTTTCTCTTTGTGCTTTTGTTCTCTTTCTCCTCCTCATGTCCCCTTCCATGTTCTCATTCATGTTAGGCATCGTCCACATCTTCTGAGATTAAGGTCAGGTAAAAGGAGGGCAGGGGCCCTGTCTTTAGTCTGGGACAGGGCTTCATTCTGATCTTTCCCTGTAGCTCTATGGGGTTAGAAGCTTGATAGGGTCTGGGCCAAGATCTTGCTCTTTCACATGGACAGGAGGGAGCAAGTAACAAGGCTTGTTGTCATTGTTAGCTCATCTGCTGGTCTACAGTCAGCTACCACAGCCCAGAAGCCAAACAGATCCAGTTCTGTTTCTGATTTGCCCTGTACCTCTGCACAGAGCTCAACCTTCTCTTGCTTAGCTTAGAAGGGTTGCACTTATTCAACCTTCCTAAGTGTGGGGGGTCCTCTTCTGCTCTGTGTTTTCCTACTTGGTACCTCCCCCCGGCCTTGCGGAATCCTTCTTTAACTGTAGCAGCTTTCTGATTCTCCACCAAGCCCGGGGTGTGCCCAGTCACTCACTCACACAAGCCAGAACCAAACTTCAGGAATAGTGAGAGGCAGAGACGGGAGAAGAGGCCCAGGCAGGACAGAGAGATAAAGTTGAACTTCTCAGGTCCTTCTCCTCCGGGGTTCCAGGATCCACTGAGTGTCCCAGATCCCACCCAGAGACAGCCTCCATGCTTCAGTCAGCCAGGCCATTGCCCCAGGGGCAGGGGAGGGACAGGACCCCAGTTCTCGTCCTGGTCCCCGCACGGTAAGCGTCTCGGCCCCTCCCCGTCTCTCCACCACCCCCAACTAACTCCTGGAAAGTTTCCTCCCCGATTGTTCTGTGTGATCAGATCTGCGAGTTGCTCTCTAAGCTTCTTGTCACATTTTGACTTAATGAAGTGCAACTGCTAAGGGATTTGGGTTCAGCGCTCCGGTCTCCCACGCTCCCTTGTTGTCAGAAAACAGGGGTGGTTGGGGACGGCAACACTGCGCTGCAAGTCGTTATCATTCTGGTCAGTCTGTTTAACACAAAATTAAACAAAGAACTAATTAGTGCCTCATGAATTAATAAATGCACAGTTGCCGGGGAGGATGGGAGGGGAGAAAAAGGTGGTAGAAGGGAGATATTGGAGTTGTGGAGTTGGGGGGCTTTGGGGGTTCAAGGGAGGCTGGCCGGGGCGCCTTGAGAGATCTCAGGCAGGCGGGTATGGGATGGACCGGACGATGATGACGCCCCGCCAGGTCCCTGGCTGGCTGGCTGGGATGTGAGCTCTGACAGCCAAGCCCGCCCGGTGCGTCTCAGCAGAGGCTCAAGGTCTCCATCCTTTGCCCCGCGGCCCAGCCCCACTTGGCCTCCACTTCATCCAGCTTTCCTCTCTGACTGCTTCTTTTTTCCACTCTGCCAACCTCTGCCCCGTCTTCCATCTCAGCAGGGCTCCCCTTTCCTCTCTGCTGCCCCCTATCTCCGTCCACCCAGCTCTATGCAGAATCCTAGCTTCTCACCATCTCGGTCAGATGGGCTTCAGCGGTCCATGAACAACACCCCCCACCGCCACCCCAACTGCTCAGAGCCCACCAGAAAGCCCTGTGTCCAGCAGGGTGGGCTCCGCCCCAGTGGACACCCTCCGCCCAGGCAGCCCAGCAAAGGCAGCGAAAGCTGGCTGAGGACCCAGCCCTCCTTAGGAGAATGCGTCAAGTACAATTAGCATTATCTGTCTAAATATGTCCTGGGAACTCGAGGGCGGGCGGCGGGACTGGGTGGCATTCCGAGAGCCCGGTACAAGGTCACCTCACCTCTCGCAATCCCCCCAATCTGATTTGGGGATTACACAGCCTAAGGAAACTGGTGTTATTCCTCTTGCATCATTGATAAGCCACAAATAAGGGAGTGAGGAGGAAAGAAAAAACAACAACTAATAAACAGAAAAACAGTGTGGGTGGAGCCCTGAGGGCCCTGGGGGTGGGAGTGGGGGTGGGGATGCAGGGCCTGGCTCAGGCAAGGGCAGGTGGGCCCAGGTCAGTGGGCAGAGAGCTCCTTGGGTTTTCTGTCCACATGAGGAGTCTGTCCCATTTGAACCTGGCTCCCCAAATTCACACTCTGGGCAGAAGGGCCTGGGCCTGGCAAACTGGGCTGAGTTACGTGTTGGTTTAAGACCTCCTATCTTGTTGGACTATCTTCCCTCTCCCTGGGTGGGCCCCCAGCGTGGGTTGTGACTTATCAGTGGGACCACAGGGTGGAAGGGGCTGTCTGCAGCTTATCTCTGGGAGCTGAGGCTTCTTGGTCCCCTGGCCCCTGGTCCGCTCTGGCCCCTCTCTCACCCACCTGCTGTAGTGAACAGCTTGGCATCTGTCGTTTTTATTTTCAGGGGCCAGGGGAAGAGAGTGAAGGAATGAGTGTTGCTGTGTCCTGTTACTGTCCCCAGGCCCCCTTGCTCAGCCACTGGAGCTCCAGGGGAGCACCCAACCCTTACACGTGCATCTCTGCTTCCACAGATGTGTGTGCAGTACAGCTTGACTTCTCTATCTTTGGTTAGGGGAGCCCTGAGGACCATATTTTCCACTGTGATCAGCCTCTGCTGCTTTCTGAATTTTTTTCAAATTTTGGTTTGGCATGTACTTCAGTGGTCCAAAATCAGTGCCCACTCCAGGTATCTGAATTTTTGACACCCTTGGCCAACCTGGAACATCAGTCCCTTGGCCCTGGGGGTGGTGATGGCACATTCTGGGGAATTGTATGTGTCCTGCCTTGAAAGGCTAAGAGGCTCTTCTCTGTCCCTCCTCAGGATGAAGTGACACCCCCACCGCAAGAGAGGAGCCTCTAGGACCCACGACAAGGTAAGGCCTGAGCCCTTCTGGATTCTTGCGTCCTTCCCCCGAATGGAGACCATGCACCTGGTATATGTTCACCCTGAGCCGGGCCCAGTCCTGCCGAGCACCCAGGGTGGGACTGGAAGATGGAGATAGGGAATCAGAGGCACACTCCCCATTTGAACCTGGCAGGAAAAGATAACCCTGGTAGAAGTGTCTCAGATTGATGGTTAGGCTGGAAATGGGCTGGGGACCTGTGGATCACTGATTTTGGGTGTGGAATCTGTTCGAGGCAGCATCAGGCTAAGGTGTCAGCTGCCTGGCAGGACCATGCCCAGCTCTCCATAGTGCTGTCTCCCCCTCTGGCTGCTGCCTCTCTCCCTGGAGGCTCTGCTTGTAGCTCCTGCTTGGGAACCACACAGACTTGAAAGCCCTAGAAGTCCAGTCCTGCCTCTCCTGGGAGGCTGCCACCCCACCCCCTGGCCTCCTCCTCCCACCATGGGATGCTGGCAGGGAGGAAGCCCCAGACTCTGAGCCCAGAGCAGGCTGCTGTCCTTCCTTCCCCTGGCTTGGTTGGGCCTTCAGACTGTCCCAGTCCTCCGGTGGCTGGAGGAACCTTGGGGGCCACCGGGCCTCGGCCCCAGGCAGTGCTGTGTCAGAGGTGACCGGTGGAACGCCAGTGTTATGTAAATAGCGGGGCCTGCCCGGCGGGCGAGCTAGCTGGCTGCAGCCATCCATCATCCGTGCGCGGCGGGGCGGGGGACAGACACGGCACCGTGCGCCTGGCTCCAAACCTGTTTGTTTTCCCTTTGTCTCACGCGTTTTGGGGGCCCCGGCTGTGACCGGCTCCGGGTTTTGTCCTGCTGGCTCCCTCCCCCGGGAGGATGGGGGGAGGAAAAAGATTCACGCGGCTCCCACCGCGGCATCCCTTTCGGACTTCAAAGGCTCCCCCAGCATTGTCTGTGCCGGCGGGCAGTGGCCCTGAAAACGTGATCAGAGGCGGCCAGTGTAGGGCAGGCCCGGCCTGCGCCCTGCGCTCTCGCTGGGGCCCGTGGATTCCTCCCTTTGCCGCCAGCACCACCCTGGTTACAGCTCTGCTCCCTGGGCCTCTCTCCTCGTCTTTTCTCCCCTGGCATCCCTTCTGACCAGCCCGACCTCACGGCTGCCCACTCCCATCCTCTCTTAGTCATAGCCCAACACCTCTCTCTTGGTATCAGGACTCCTGGAATGTTGAGAGCTACAACTCTCTGCCCCTTCATGCCATCTGAAGCACAGTGGAGGGCTTTTGGGGATGCTGGGAGCTGGGAAGGACTGGTTTCTGAACATCTGTTTCCCATGCCAGCCCTAGTTTTCTTCTTTTCCTCCACCCTCTTCAGGTAAGGAGACCCTGACTTGCCCTCTGCCCAGCCCTTCTTTCTACTTCTTGGCAAGGTTCAGATTGGCTACTTCTGTCCTGAAAGTCAGCCCCAGGTGCTTCCATTCTCTGGAGCAAGGCTTGGCAAAATATGGCCAGAGGGTTAACTTTGGCCCCCTGCCTGTTTTTGTAAATAAAGTTTTATTGGAACATAGCCACACCCACTCATTTGCATATCAGTTATGGCTGGGTTTACTCTAAGATGGCAGAGCTGAGTAGCTACAGCAGAGCATGTTTGGCCCAAAAATTTACAGTATTTACTCTCTGCCCCTTTACAGGAAAAGTTTACTGTTTCTCACTCGGGAGTTTTTGGCTCCTGTCCACTGCTCTCTGTTTTTTTAAGTGGTCAAATAGACATACCATGAAGTTTACCATTGTAACCATTTTTAGTGTGCTGTTCCCTAGCATTAAGTACATTCACAGGGCGGTGCAACTGCTCTCCTGCTCTGTGCTCATGTCTTGCTCTGAGGCACCCGGGCAGTTGTCAGGGAGCCCCATCCCTGCGCTTACGGGGCTGCTTGCAGTCCTGGTCCCTTTGGGGCCCCCCTTTCTCTCTCATCTCTGTAGGACCTCATCTCCTCCTGAGTCCAACCTCTCGAGAAGCCCCTCCTGTCCTCTCCTTGACAGTTTCCTCAGAGCTCTTGCTCCCAGCATCCCAGGAGCCCTGTATCTCCATCCTGTAGCCTTTAGAAATTCTCAGGTCCAGTTTCCTCTTTTGCAAGGCAAGCAGAATATCTCATTTGCAGTGTTATTGTTGTGGTTCAGTCTCTTGGTCATGTCCAACTCTTTGCGACCCCAAGGACTATAGGCCAGCAGGCTCCCCTGTCCTTCACTATCTCCCGGAGTTTGCTCAGATTCATGTCCATTGAGTTAGTATGCTAGCTAACCATCTCAAGCATGTGAGTGGATGGGACTGAAGGTGTCTGACAGGTAGGCAACACCTACCTCCTTTGTTCCCTCCCTCCTTTGTTCCTTTATACCTGCCAGAGCAGGGGTCTTCCCCCGGGCATGTTGGAGGCAGTAGTCAGCCCTCAGCAGGTTCCATGCAGAGCCCCTCTCCTGCCCCGGGACCGCTGAGTCCCTCATCTTAGAGAAGCTGAGGCTCCTCACTTGAGCGAGTGCTGTGGAAGATGCTCCTCTGGGGGTGGACTGGGTGTCCCTGAGTTCTCAGATCAGTCCCACATCCTGCACATCTGCTACAGGGCCCTGGGAAGTTGCATCACCTCTCGAGCACCAGTTTTTTCATCTGTGAAAGAGACTGCCATGCTCTCTGCTCTTCAGGCTTGTTGCAAGCAAGAGCTAGGATATAGGGGAGAAAGCTATGATCCTGGGGGCTGCTGAGGGCAAAGCAGGCCAAGCTGGGCTTCATTCTGGGGAAGGTGGGAACCAGGCTGCAGTTCTAGGGAGAAGGCCCTGGATGTTATGTGGGTACTTGCTCTGTCCATGGGCAGGGACCAAGGCTGCACATCACTACTGAGCTAATCTGGGATCCGGGCTCCAAGCTCCAGAGGAAAGGTTGGCAGGGAGAAGAGGGGAGGAAATTGAAGCTGTGCAGCTGTCAGAGGTCTGAGCTGGAGCCGGGTCCCCGCACAGATCACTAACTGCCCTTTCCTGATGCTCTTGCTGCCATCTCTCTTTCCATCCTCTCGTTGAGGGCTCCCGGCCTTTTGTAGGCTTCTGTTCCCCTCCAAGCCTTCTCTCTACATCCCATAGTTTCTCTTCCTCCTCACCTCCCCACCACCCGTGCTGCCACCCCCAACTCCATGGCGCTCTCTCTTTCTCCCTCTCTCTCCTTTTCATCTACTCCGAAGGCTTTACTTTACTTCCTTGTCACCCTAATTGATTGCATTAACCTTTCAGCGTATTGGATTTCCTCGGCAGCGTGCAGAGAGCCCTGCGCAATATGCTTATAATCTGAGCCATAATGGACAGCTTGTAGTCAACAAGCCCCTTCTCCCATCTCTGCCATCGCTCCCGTTGACATCTCTCTTGCCCAGGCCACCATGGCCACTTCCCCTGCCTGCCAGGGTGGGGCGGCAGAAGGGGGCTGGGAAGCAGCAGGCAGAGCTGGGACCCATTGATAGATTTCCCTGCCTCTCCCCTCGTGGCTCTGCCCTGGCCCCACCTCTGCTCTTCCAAGCCCCCCAGCCTGGGCCCATGTCTGGTGGGTCCTCGCTGCTTCTAGACTTTCTATCTAATGAATGACTGATGGAGCCAGCTTGGATTTGGCAAATAAGAGAGTTCCTGGGCTTCCCTGGTGGCTCGGTGGTAATGAATCTGCCTGCCAGTGCAAGATACATGGGTTTGATTCCTGTGTCAGGAAGATCCCCTGGAGGAGGAAATGACACCCCACTCCAGTATTCTTGCCTGGACAATCTCATGGACAGAGAAGCCTGGAGGGCTACAGTTAATGGGGTTGTGAAGAGCTGGGCATGACTACATGACTGAGCATAGGCACATATGATGATTCCACCAAATGGTCCTCAGAGGAAACCTCGATTGCCTGGGAGGTTTGGGGGGTGACAGTGACTGCTCCAGGAGATCAAGAGTAGCTAAGAGGAAGAGTCTGAGATCTCTGGGCTTGCCTGGCCCCTGAGCTAACCAGAGGCCCTCTCTGGAACTTCTGGAAGCCAAGCCCACTCCTGGAAATGTATGGGAGTATAAGGGAGATACAAAAAAGGGGATCTGCTAAAGGCAAGGGAAGAGAGACAGACAGTGCTGGGGCTGGCCTGGGTGCTGCAGGTAGCAGTGGCCTTTCCCAGTGGGTGAAGATGTGGACTTGTGGATACACTGGGCCCCATCTTCTCCACAGTCCCAGGATTGTATGATCTGGATCCTTGGTGGGCGATGTCTCAGTCTCTGTTTCCCCTCTGATGTTTGTCAGCAGCTTTGAGCAGAACCCCTTGCCAGGTGGTAAAGAACACACCTGCCAATGCAGGAGATGTAAGAGACGCAGGTTTGATCCCTGGGTTTGGAAGATCCCCTGGAGGAGGGCATGGCAACCCGCTCTGGAAAATCCCATGGACAGAGGAGCCTGGTGGGATATAGTCCATGGGGTCACAAAGAGTCGGACATGACTGAGCAACTCAGCATGCACGCATGCATCTGCCTTCATCAAAGGAACATAAATGTGATACAGGCAACAGGGCTCCAAACCAGGGATAAGCCTTTGCAGGGCAGGAAGGCTTGGCCTGCAGGAGACTGGCACTGGGAGAGGCCGGAGAAATGAGAACTGGCTTCTCAGGTTGGTAAGAATGGGCTCCCTCTGGTGGGTTCTCAGATGGGCACCTGCTTGTCCAGCATCAGGCAGAGGAGCCAGCCCCTGCCAGCCACCTGGTTCTGGGATCTCAGTGAGTTCTGAGATCCACCGGGGCATTGGTCCTGGCCAGGGCTGCCAGCCCTCAGACCCGAAGCCTGGTCAGCTAAGCCTTCATTCATAACAGGATGGACGTGGGGTTGAATACATTAGTGTCAGGCCCGAGGAGTAAGATGCAAGCTCCCCTTAGCCCTGGTGGTACTGCTCTCTCCCTCCGCCCTCTGTCCATCATCTTCCCCTTCTCACCATCCCCCCCCCCAACCTCCCATCGCTCCATCACTCCAAAGGGCAGGCTTT